GTATTTTTTAAAAAAAACAAGTTTAGGTATTTTTAATTTTTAAGGTTTTTTGAAATTTAAAAAAAAAAATTAAAAATGACAAAAAAGTTCCAAAAGATTTTATTTTAAAAAATTCTACTTAATATTAATTATTTCAATTATTATTTTACTTTTATTAAATTAGTTATCCAATGGCGATTTTTTTGTGGTAGATAATTTTTGTGAATATTTTTGAATATCAATGCATTGCATTGATAAATTATTTAGTAAAGAGAAGAAGGCTTTCTTTACGTCCTTTCCGCAAAATAAAATTAAAACTTGAAAATTCGCTTTCTTAAAATTAAAAAATTTTTCAATTTTGATTTTTAAAGTTTTGATTTTTGATTGATTTTTAAAATAAACAAGTTAATTTTTTTAGAGTTGGGCGGGATCGGGATCCCGACGTAAAATCGGGATCGGGATTTTGGAATGATGATCCCGATCCCGATCCCGACTGCGGGATCGGGATTGGACGAAATCGGGATCGGGATTCGGAATAATGATCCCGATCCCGGTCCCGATCCCGACTCGGGATCGGGATTGAAAAATCGGGATCGGGATTTAGTTAAAAAAATTTTCAAAATTTAAATTTTTATTTACATTGCATATACCTCAATATAATTCCATAATTTTCATCTGCTGTGCTGAAATATTGATTTTAAGTCCCAGCGCGCATTTGTTCTTGGCGTATCAGGGATTAAGGAGGAGAGATAAAGTATTAACGATAAGGTGATTCTGATAGATTAAGAGGGATATCGTTGATTAATGAGATATTGGGATCTAGATGGACATCTAGGATATCCATTATATCCGTTCAAATCCATTCCGTCGATAGTTTTATAAATGAGTCTCTTCTTATTCACCGCCGGAGGCAAAAATTTTGAAAAATTTCAAAGATTCTCAAGCCAAAATCTTCATTTTTAGCGCCGCAGGCGAAAATTTTGAAAATTTTGGATGGCGTAGAAGCCAAATTGCTTTCTTTTCAGCTCATTAATATATATTTTCATTAATTTATAAAATCCCGATTTCATCGGGATCCGATTGCTAATCCCGATCCCGGTCCCGATCCCGGCTCGGGATCGGGATCGGCCAAAACCGGGATCGGGATTTGTCTTTCGGGTTCGGGATCAGAAAAATCGGGATCGGGATTCAAAAAAACCGGGATAATCCCGCCCGATCCCGACCGGGATCCCGATCCCGCCCAACTCTAAATTTTTTAATTTAGGAGTTTTTTCTGATTTTTAAAGTTTTTTTTTTGGAATTTTTTAAGAATTAAAAATTTTAGAAAGCAACCTCTATGATTCAATAATAACTTGGTTTTACTTAAAAAAAATTTTTTTGCTTAATATTAATTATTTCAATTATTATTTTATTTTTATTAAATTATTTAACGATTGGAGATGGTTTTGGTGAAGTTGATGGAAATATTTTTGAATATCAATGCATTGCATTGATAAATTATTTACGAAAGTGAGGAGGGCTCTCGTTACGTCTTTCTCTGAAATTAAAATTTAAATTGAAAATTAACGTTCTTTAAATTTAAAAAAATTTTTTCATGTTTTGTATTTTTTTGGATTTTTAAAATTTGTTTATTTTTAATTGTAGTTTCTAAACTTTTTATTTATCAAATAATTTTCATACAAAATTTCCACAGTTGTTTTAACCCTGCGTATTTATTTTCCTATTTTTATTATTCATTTTACTGTTATTTATTAATCATACAAGCACTTGATTCTCCAATACAAAAGAGCAATTAACTAATTTATTTTTATTTTATGAATAATTCTCGAATATTTTTTTTGTTAAAATTTAATTTCAAATCTTAAATAATTTTATTAATTTTTTTAATAATCTAAAAAATCTACTAAAAAATTCCCTTCTATCCAATCGGCATCTAATTTCATTACTTCTTGACTTTTTGAAGTTTTTAAAAATTTTTTTGTGATTCTAAAAGGACGGACTTCCGACTTCTTGGTCATTGGAGATTCTAAAAATTTAATAGTAGTTTTTCTATTTTCACATTTGCGGCTTGCCAAATAAAGCTTAGAAGTACGAGCGTATTTGATCCTTTTCTGGATTTCTTTTTGGAGTAATATCATCTTCTATTTATTTTCTCGTTCCTAATATTTTATAAAATTTTCTTAAAATATTTTTTTATCAAAATTAATTGATCAAATGTGATTGACAAAAACGCGCAATTTAATATATATTTGTATATATTCCCATAAATAAAAATATTTTATTTTTATAATATTTGCTGAATAATCAAAAAAACCAGCTATGAAAAGTGAAACAACAAATAAACGAAATATTTATATGGGATTAATAAAATTTTAGAATTAAAAATAAATAGAGACACTCACACATTTGTGAACATTTTTTAGCTTTTTCAAAATTTTAAATTAAAAAAATAAGTGATTTTGAATTGTCAGATTCTCATCAAACAATAAATATTTAAGAAAGGGATAAAGCTTTAGATCTACTAGAAATGCCTTTTTATTAAAGATGCCTGGAGGATTTCGATTAGAGGGTGGGTTAGTGGAGCTAGTGAAATCTTCGGATATTCGGATCTGATATCCGAACCGAAAATTTTCGGATATCCGGACTTTCTTTTCCTGATCCAACTCCGCCAAACTTAGAGGAACCATTCCTCTATTTACGAATTGGTGGTAGAAACATATTTTATTAAATTTTGTTAGAAAATCACCTTTCTATTAGTGAGAGAGTAGGAAGGTTAGCGAATACACGGAAACCCATAGATCTTCGGATCAGATATTCAAACCGAAAATTTCCGGATATTATGACTTTCTTCGAGCCCAACTCCGCCAATCCTAATTAGAATGAGGCCGCTCCGCTATTTAAGAATTTGTGTTAGAAAACATATTTTATTAAATTTTATTAGAAAATTCCCTTTCTATTAGAGAGTACCCCATTCTATTCAAAACATCATCATTAAATATATATCTTTGAACATCTCTCGACTCGTCAAAACAATTCAATGTCATTTAAAGATTGACAAAGAAAATCGTTTTATATATTTTAATGTCATATATACATCCCCTCCTACCCAATCCTTATCTTTCTAAACAATCTTCTCTTCTTTTTCTTCTTTAACATTTTCTTCTTCTTCTTTTTATTCCTTTTATTTTCGCGCGAATCAGCCGATTATTGGCAGAAAAGTATCAACAACAAACATCAACATATTTTCTGATTTTATATTTTCTTTCATTCATGGACACCCGCGTCTTTTGAATATTTTTATTTATTTGCAAATTTCTGTAGTTTTTAATTATTATTTTTATATTTCCTGTTGTCTTTTATTAAATAATATTTTTATTGTTTTTATTATGTAAATTTATTTTTATGGAGTTTTCCACTAATTTATAAAAAATTTTTATCATTTCTTCCGAAAATATTAAAAATATTTCGAGAATTTATTTTAAAAATTAATAATTTAGAAACATCCTTTAATTGTTAGAGGTTAATAAATTCAAAATTAAATTTTTCCGCGGAATTAAAAAGAGAAATGTCGAAATGTCGAATTTCAAAATATTAAATTTTAAAAATATCTAATTCCTCGGGATTTTCTCGGATTTTCGAAATATTATGAAATTTTTTTGGTTTTTTTTTTAAATATTTTTTTGACTGATGTGAGAAATTATTTTTTTGACAGTCCAATATCCTTTCCATTATTTAATTTTTAAATTATTCTCTAATTAATTAATCTTTCCAAAATTTTTAAGCGTGCCATTATGCTCTCTACTCCCACCCGTCAACAAGAAAATGGGAAAGACACAACTCTAACAACACCTTCACCTAACAATATGTTCAAGGAAATGAACTTGAATAATTTAAATGGTTTGCAAAAAAATAATGGAATTAACACAAAAAGGCCTTCAAAAAAGGAAATTAAAGACGCTTATTGTTGCTGTGGTTCTATTAAATTGGAATGTTTTGTTATTGGAATTACTATTGTTGAATTGGTATTTTACGGGTATCAGGTTGATTTTTGTTTTTTTGAAAATTTAATTTGGTGGTTTTGAATTTACTTGAATATTGAGGGATTTATAAATATTAAGGGGAAGGAGAGGAGAGGGGATGCCTCCCCTCGTGAATCTCCCTCTTCCTTTATTTTTTTTGGCAAACCATTTTATTTATGGGATATAGTTAGCCGGTGGATTTAATGGTGGTGGCTTAAACTCGGTGTGGGTCCTTTCCGAGGCAGGCCCGTAGCCAGGGGGAGGTAGGGGGGAAAATCCTGGCTATTTGAGGGGTCAATGGCATTTAACCAAAAGGTATAGACGAATTTCGATTAAAGTCAAAGGCTACGAGAAAGAACCTTTACCCTTTACTAGATTTTTCGATTAATGAGATTGTAAAATTACCAACAAATTCATTTAAAAATACCAAAATATTTTTCTAGTTAGTTACATATCTTTTTGAATTATTCTTCACACCGGTTTCTTTAACCAACAATATTGAATCAATTCCTTCTCTTGATTTAATATCAGAAGAATCAACTTCAATTGGACTTGTTGGTCTATTTTTTATTCTTTTCTCAATTGTGGCAACAATTTTGGTACCTATTGGTTGGTATACACATTCGTGCCATTTAATTGTGCCTCATTTAATTATGCAAGTAAGTTGGAGGTTTTTTGTTAAACTAGAAAATTGTGATATATGGGAGAATACAATCTTCATTTTTAGAAACTCCAAAATATTGGATACTCAATTTAGGATTTATTTTTTAAAATTGATCGTCCTTTATGCTGTGGTTACATAAAAGTCGCTTTGCGTCTTGCGACAGAAAATAGCACTGAAAAGGAGAGACAAAATCGCGCGCGACTTTTTCCTTTTTATTTCCCATTATCTTTTCTGTCGCAAAACGGGCGCGATTTTTATAAAACCCTGGCATTAGATGGAAGAGCTGCTTAACAATAAGTGGTCTCACTATAATTTACATTTTTTTAGTCCTAAAGGGATATCTTAAGATTGGCTCGACTGCTACACCAAATTAAAATTGAATTTTTTCCGTTTTCTTTGATTTTTTGCGACCCATAACAAATTTCCTTATTATCAACAGATATTCTATTTTTAGACTGGGCCGTTATTCGATTAAAAAAATTTTTTTGAATGCCTCTCTTCTTTCCCATTATCCTCGCATTTTTCTTTCTCCTTCCCGGACATTCATTCCAATAAAAATTAATTTCCAAAATTTATTCATTAACGAAATTTTTCAAAGTTTGCCGTATTGTCTGCTACTCTAGTTATTATGTGTTATATTATGGCCTGGATATTTGGAGGAATTGATTTGCAAATTAATGCAGTTTTCTTTGAACATTCCTCTCTAGGGGAAGAAGGTATACAAGAATTTATTTAAAAATTTACTTTTGACGAAAAGGAAAAGGATAGAAAAAAATTGTTTTGAGTTTTCTATAAAATTTTTTTGAGAATTCTTCTCATTTAACAAAAATTTTTTTAAATAATTTTTTCAAAAAATATTTAGGTATTAGAACTGCCAGTCAAAGAACTCCAATTGAGGCTAATTTTACCATTACACATATGCAAATGATTTTGGCTGCTATTCTCTTTTTGTTGGCTGTTGTATTTTTAATTGAGGTAAATTTTGAAGAAATTTTTAATTAAAAAATTTTTTTCTTAAAGTTGTTCTTTTTTCATATTATGTTGCGTGTTTTTCGTTATATTAGAGATCAAAATGGAAATAAATTGGAGAGCAATAATAATTCTTTTGTGAAAGTTGAAAATGGAATTATTGTTGGAGGGAATGTTCAAAGTTTGTTTTTTATAATTTTTTTTTAATTTTTTTGAGTTATTTCTCTCCTTTTCTCTATAATTTAGACCACTTTTATAATTTTTTATACAAGACTTGACCAAACTTTGTGGACATTTAAAAAAGTTTAGGACCCAACACAAAATTTTGGACTCCTAACACAAAAGGACCAAACACAAATTTTGAATAATTTTGACCCCGAACATAAAATTCCGTACAATTCTTTAAAAATTTGTTTTTGGGGACTTCCTAAAAAATTTTTCTTGTTTAAAAATTGCGTCCACAAAAATATATATTAATTTTACTTTTTCATATTTTTCCCTCACATCTCTCATTTTCAAAAAAAAATTTTCCTATAAAATATAATCTCTTATAAATTTCTTTAAGATGACAACAATCTAAGATCTCCTCCACATAATCAACATCAACAACAATCTCCACCTTCACTTAAAACATGTGCAAATATTTCTTCTCCCCAATTACCAAATACAAGTACAACATCCACAACAGCCACATTTAGTATAAATTCTTCTCCGCCTCCTCCTCTTGTATTGACTGAAACGAATAGAATTCTACAGCCAACAATTCAGGTATTTTATTTTAAATTTTGGGATTTGTTAGGGATTTTTCTTTTGTCTACCCCCACTTTTCTGCTGTTTGAATCTTGGATTTATATCACTATGAAATTTTGGTCTCAAGCAATTTATAGGAATATTTTTATCTTAAAATCATAGCTTGTTTGCTGATTTAGTACTACCGAATTATGCCTCCGCATGTCCGCAAATGTTTGCCTCAGAAATTCTTTCTGACTCTCCTCTCAAATAATGTTCAAGAACTAATAATGGTTTGGCAAATAAAATGTTACTTTATAAATTTCCTATGTGTGGATAGAAAGTAGAATCTTCTGCGGACATGTGGGGGGTATAATGCGATAGTGCCAATAATTTTTAAAAATTCCATTTTAAATAATTCACAAAAAAATAAAAATTTTCAGATACCCGGAAATCAACGGCATCCATACAATTCTCATAGTAGTCCAGCAGTCTACTACGAAGTTCAACCGAGGAAGGAATTGCATGTTTAGAAAATACCAAAATTCAACAAATTCCAATTCAAAACATGGACATATGAAAATTATTTTAAATTAAAAAATAATTTATATATAAATTTATTTAGATTTTTCCTTCCTTTGCAATGCCTTGAAATAAGTGCCTATTTATTGCTCACTGACTTTTTTTTGAAAATTTTATTTCTTTCTATTACATAATATTCTTTGGAGATATTCTATATATGATTTATTTATGAATATCATATATATTCAAAGTGGAAAAGAGATTCTTTTATAAATGATTGAGGGTCTGTCTAATTTTATTAGCTTTAAATCTGGATAACTCTCTTCGCTTATGTGGGGATATTCTCGGTTATTTCTGTAATCATCCTTACCTTTTTGACTTTAATCCTTCTTAACGTTTCTATCATTTATGCCCTAAACTTGGTTTTTTTCATTGACTCTATTTTTGAGATTTAGATTTGAAGTTTTATGATTTTTTAAAATTTCGTTTTTATCAAAGATTTTATGACAGATCCTTTTTCTCTTTGCACACATTTCCTTTTATTATTGCCATAATTTATCGTGCCTTTATATATTTATTATGACTTTAAATGGTTGTATAATAAATGGATTTTATTGACAAAATTATTCTTTTTTTATTTAGACTATCTCTTTTGATTGACTTCAAAAAGTCACCACAGGATAACTCGGGCGTAGGATTTCTAAAAAGGGAATTTATGAAGATTAATGTGAGGAATTCAGTAACTTAACATTTTTGGGGTATTTTGGAGAGGTCTGATAATTTTTCAATGTAAGTTTATACACGTCAATATTTTTAGGATAAGGATTACTTTGTAGTAAATTTTATGCTTTTCAGAAGGCCTAAAGGATGGAAATGCTGATAGAAACTTAGAATTTATTGAACTCAAGACGAAAAACTCAAACTGTTCGCAAATTTTTTCTCACACAAAAAGTGGATTTGGTCCTAAACTTAAGTTTTTTGGATGGAAATTCTTAAAATAGCCCTATTTATAAATTTAGTCATACAGCTTACACAGATTTATCATATATTTATTTATTCACAAACAAAAAAATGAGTGAAAACAACACAAATATACAAAGGAAAAGAACAATAAGCGAGTGAAATCAACACAATTATCCATCAGTTCTTCTTTGTTGCTGTTCAGCCTTGTGTTTTTCATACTGCTCCGCAGCCTCCCTTCGCTTTCGCTTGACGACCTTTTCATATTCAGCAAGGAACGGTTCCACTGTCGCTTGTTCAAGCTTGCCTGCCACGACGGCTGCATCGATGACTGCTCTGTGGAGAAACAAGTACTGAAAATAAAAAAATTTTTCTTTTAGAAACAATTACACTTAGAGTACTTGAAGGTCAGTTTGAATTGCCCGCTCCCGTTGATTGCGCACAGCTCGGTAGACGGTCGACATCTGGATCAGGTGGTCGTTCTGGATCAGGTTTCTGATGGCGATCTCTATGGCGGCATAAGTGCCAGTGCGGCCGACTCCAGCGCTGCAGTGTATAAGTACGGTGCACTTCTTCTCGATCGCCTGTCGCAGAATCGCAAGTCGGAATTGGCGAAACGAAGTTGGATTGTCAGGGACGTCATGATCGGGCCATCCATCGAACCGGAAATGCGTTACCTATAATTTTAAGAATTTGGTTTAACTCAAACTTAGCTTACAGCAATGGGCTCGTTCCCTCTCAGTGCGACGTTGAACAATGTCCTTTTCACATGCGGGTTAGAAGGCGACTCCTGCGTCTGGCTCATTTGTTCCACTGTGACGTTGCCAAATTTGGTCGATTTCCCCTGGGGAAAGTAGTCGGCACATTTTCTCCGACCATCCTCGACGTACTGGCAGAGTTGAACGATAACCTGAAATTGAGTGAACAATTTATTTTAAAAGTTGACATTTAGCTAAAAATTTAAGTCTTACCGCGCAATTGTTTTCTGCAACCATTGTCCAAAAGTGGCCGATCGTCCTGTCCAGAGGTCCTTGAGTACAAATCATTGGAAAAGGCCCACCGTGTACGTGCGATGCATGAATGTAGTCTATCCCGCCGGCTCTTTTCAAGACGACCCGCGAATGGTCCAGCAGTTGGACATCCTCATAGCGGTTCAGGCCCAAACCCTCGCTCTCCACTCGATTGAAAACCTCGTATTTCCCGCCGGGTCGCCTGTACTGCTGGAGATCTATGGCGTACTGTTGACGAACACCTCTGACATCTTCCTGCTTGACGACTAAATATAAAAATATAAATCAGTTTTTTAAAAAATTTTGAAAAATTCAAGAAAATTACCTTGAAACCAGCGCTGAGCAGCATTCTGTTCTTTTATGAGCGAATTTGTTGATGACCGTTGTCGTTCTTCATCCAAAGGCTCAACTGCGGCTCTCGATGCTGCGACTCGGCGTTGCGTCCTGACTCCCCGTACGATTGATTGCTGACCGCCTGCCGTCCTCACCCTGGATGCACTGCGTCCTTGAGCTGTTCGACGATGGTTGCCGGCTGTGATTATCCTTCTGTTGCCGACAGAACAACGCCTGTTGTCGATGGATACACGCCTGTCCCTGCTCCTGCTGCGTCGACGTCCACGAGAGTCCTCCTTCCGATTCGGCGCCATGATGAGTTGTGAGAGTTGTGCCGCACAGTTCGTCTATTTGTTCAATTTTTATACTAAAAATTCCCTGTTTTATCAGTTACGCTTCTATTTAGTGTATAAAAGCAACCGGGTTTTCATCGGACAGCCATCATCGACAATACAGCCAATCTGCCAGTTTTTTCTTGTTCAATGGACTCCGACTACATCAACTTAGGCGCACCTGCGGCCGCGTGGAATCCAGCATCACAGAATCAACAGCAGACTACTGCGCCCGAACCTGCTGGCCCTTGCTGCGTCGATGGCGGTCAAGCCGAGCCCACCAACTCAGCCGACGTGGTACAGCAGCCGAATTTCGATCAGTCCGCCTACGTTGACCTGTCTACAAGGGCGCAGCCGACGGCAGAGAACGAGACGCTCTATCAGCCCAAACAGGCTAGTTTTTCTTTAACGAGTCCATTTCATATAATACATAAATAGTTAATTACAGGTTCCAAGCGCGCCGGATGCAAGCTTCGAGAAGCAGCAGCCTCAGGAGCAAGCATGTGGTAAAGAAGACAAGGGAAGCGTGAGCAACGACAAGCTTGCAGTGCCAGAAGGAGCAGATCCCTCCGTGCGTGACAATGACTTGTTTGCCATCATGCGTGTTGGATATGATCCGCTTCGCCTCGTTCATTTTGGACCTTTCTCCAGAGTCTACTTTGTGCGCCACAAGGAGAATCCGGCACATGAGTGTATGGCGAAGGTTGAAGCTAGCAACGAAAAGAAGTGAGTTTTTAGGGCTAAAGTTTCATAAAATCTAAATTCCTTTCAATTATTAACAGGAGAACTTTGGGCATTGAGGCTCGCGTTTATCTTGACTGCAAAGGCGTTTGTGGTTTCGCGGAACTCTACGACCGTTTCCGGACGTCCGACGGCAGCCGTGTTCTTGTGATCCAGCGTCTAGGCACCGACTTAAACCGAATTAGACTCTCGCTACCCAATCAGATCCTGACTCAAGCTGATGCACTCAAACTTTGCCTGGAAACTTTTGCGCGCATTTGGTCACTCCATGATCGAAATTGGATGCACCGGGACATTAAACCGAGTAATTTCGTCGTTGGACTGCCTCAATCGGAGATGGATGACCAAGTCTTCATTATCGACTTTGGATTGGCTCGGCAGCGTCGGGAAAAGTCACGTCCAACAGGAGCGTGTCCAATATTGGGCACTGACGCCTACAGGCCGATTTCGAATTACAGCCGTGTGGAGTACCAGCCGAAGGACGATATCGAATCTTGGTTCTATATGTGCCACGAATTCTTTAATGGTAAATTTTTTGAGATTTACCAACTTTATAACCCAATCTATTTTTTTCCTTTACAGGTGCTTTGCCTTGGGACAAACTTCCTCACAGCTCTACTCTTGACTGCAAGATCCACTGCCGCAAATTGGGACGTGATCTGCTGCTGTCTAATATGCCTGACACGTTTGACGGTATCTTAAAGTCCATCGACTCCTCTAAGACAAAAGTCGACTACTTCCAAATTTCGACTCTTCTGAAGGCTGCCCTTGCGAATCTGAGTCAGGAACAGTTGGCCGAGCCGTTCAGTTGGAAGGTGGGAAATTAGCCTTAGATTAGATTAATTTGTTTAATGACATTCTTTTTTAGAAAGATCCTACAATTGTGCACCGTGCTACCACAATTGAGCAAGGAAGAGTCATCCCTGGCATTTGAAAGGAAGATGTGAATGGTTAGAATAAAGGATGTTTGAAATATGATTATTATTGTTGTATGTAAATATATGTATTGTTTTGTATATTGTTTATAATTAGGTATATATGTGGGGTTGTTGTAGATATTTCTTATGATTTATTGTAATTGTTTGAATAATGTATGATAAAAATTTATCTTGATGTTTACTTAAACCTTAGAAAATATGCCAAATATACATATTTCGATTCCTATCTAATTTTATTTTTCTATATTTTTTTGAACAATGCCGATCCTCTTATAACTCCCAGCCCATCTTCACTTTAAAAATTTATCAGCCGGAAATTTTCTTATAGGGTAATGGAGATTAACTCCCCGTTAAAAACCATTTTGATGCTATAAGTATAGTGATAACGAATAATTAAATCTCTAATTTAACAGCCTTTGTTCGACTATATTTTTTCAATAACTAAATTTAATTTTAAAAATAATTTTATTTATTAAAAATGACTGGAATTGACTAATATTTAATTTTAAATTATAAAATATATTTATTAAAATATCTACTAATTAATTTCTAATAAATTCACAATTTTCTCATTTTTTTCTTCAAAATTTTCTTTAAATCATTGCAAATCACTACTATTTTGTTCATCAATAGAACACGCATTTAAGGAGATAGTAATAGATTCATTGGAGGAATTGATTGGGCTTGAGTTAGAATTTAATAAAAGTTGGGTTTGCTGGAAATTGAATTTTTAATTGAATATTTTAAATTTTATTTTTCCGGAAAAATGGAAGAATACGCTACCATAATAACTCCAAATTCTCAATCCTTTCCCCAAAAAATTCCCCTAAAAATTCCTTACAATTTGTTGTTGTTCTATTTTATTTGGCCTGTAGGATTCGTCTAAACTAGTAGAAAGACCACAATTATTTTGTTGTTGTCCTAGCGATAGACCAAGAAATTGTTGAGAATTGTCTGATCTTTGATGTTCTAATAAATGAACAGAGGCTGCCAGTGAAGAAGTTCCCAATTGGTTTTGTTGGCTACGACGATATTTGGCTCTCGCATTCTTTTTTGTTTTGAAATTTTTATTTTTTACATTAAAAGAGCTTTGATATTTTTTTGATATTTTCAGAGATCTCTCTGACTTTAAAATTTTCTTAGAACTACAAGAGTCTATAGTTTAAAAATCGAGATAGTGTTTAATTCAAAGTAAGTGGACTCATTGTTCCTATAAAATTTTAAACTGGATTTTTCTACTATTCAGTTCAATATGCCAAGAGGATTTGAGTGTTGCCACTAAAAACAGCCCTAACAAATAAGACCACTAAAAACTAAACCTCTAAAAACAGCCCTAAGACTCCATATGAAGTATTATTCTTGTGTTCACCACCCTAGGCAAATCCCGAACAGATTCCGGAAATAATATAAATTGTTTCTAGAATGCGACACTTGACCTATTCTGTGGTCAGAGATTTACTTTCCTTTTCCCTTTTTAAGCAACAAAATCCGACCTGAAACCAAACCTATAAAATTAAAAAAAATATTTTTAAATAAAAAATAATTTTGCCTGCAGAACACGTTTGCTCAGTCCTGTTTTGTTAGACAAAATTTTCAAATCCTTTGAATCTGGATTGTGATTTATAAAGAAATATGCCTTCATTGTACGTAACTAAAATTTTGGGAAAAAATATTTTTTTAATTATATTATTTTTTATCAAAAATCACTTCTAACTTCAAATTTTCTATTTGCCCAAGACAGGGCAAAAAATATTTTTCTAACTTTAAATATTTTCATTGAACTTCATGTGATCCATAATTATAAATTTTATCCAAAGGTGTAAGTTTTTTTTATCCATTTAAGGATATACCTAACAGAAATTTATTTTTACGTCGCTAGACTTCGATGCCGCTATGTGATGTAGAGCCTAGTCTAGTATGACTAGGGTATTTTTTGAAATTTTAAAGGAAAAATTTGGGGAAATATTTGAAGGGTCTTAAACAAAACCCCGATCCAAAAATTAACCAAAAATTAACATAATTAGCGGGTTGTAAATCGTTAATATTTTAATAAAATTTAAAATGTATTTTTACATATTAAGTAAAAATAAAAATAAATTTCTTCTGTTTTTTTCCCTCAAATATTTAAATATTTTTCGTTAACCTTTACAGTTTTTTTATTCAGGAAAATCAAAAAGTCTCAATCTTATAGAAATAAAATAAATCTCCAAAGGTTTTATGTTGGAGAAATTTTAAGGACAATCAGAAAGTCTCGAATTTAATGTACATAGGCTTAGTTTTACTAGAAAATTTTTTAAATTTACTTGTGTGTGTTTAAAACTCGTTCTCATTCTTTTCAATTTTTGGGCAGAATTATTTGAAGAAGATAAAGGGTCACCGCTGTCAGATAAATTAGAATTACCAAAATTAATATCTTCTGACTGCGCCCCTCCACGACTGTTTGGAGTTGTACTTCCAGCGACTAAAAAATAAATTTAAAAAAATATTTTGAGGATTATAGGGATAAGGGGTGGATTTTATTCTTGTCTTTATTGGCTTAGAAAATAGGCGAAAACAACAACATTTACATTCTTCTATTCTGCCATTTAAACAAATAATGCTACAGTATTATTTCTTTTTCTCTTCTTTATACCCACTATTTCGTTTTTCTCTAACACAACACAAAAAATAATTACAAATCAGAAGAGAACTCTTCCATAATTCCTTACCGGAAGAAGTAAAAGTATTTGTTGTAGCATCATAAGTATTATCATAATCAACAATAAATTCGTTACTAGATGTGTTTGTCGCCATTGAAAGAGGTGGTCGGTGGGAAATTAATTTTTGGGTGGAATTGGGGGAATGTTCTGAAGTTGGTTGAGTTAATAAATTTGTTGAACATAAATTATTTTCGGTTAAAAAGGAGGGCTGGAATTAATTGAAATTAAATTATTTTTAATTAATATAATTAAATTTTCAATCAAAATTTATAAAGGAGAGTAATTTTGTTTTTTCCTGGGGTTCCCAAAAATTAGATTTAAAGAATATTTTCCAAAACTAAGTGATTACCCTTCGATTTTAATTGTGTGAATTTATTAGGCAATTAAACTTAAACAATCCTTTGAGGAAAATGTATTAATGCTAGAGATGGGCTGGGTTGGGAAAAAGTCGTGACGAGTTTTGGGTCTGGCTTTCAAAATTTTCTTTAGATTGGTTATCGGGTAATCCGACCCATCTAAGTTTTGTTCAAAAACACTTAAATCTTTAGTTCTCCCTGCGAATTATTTAAAATATTTATCTACTTCAGTCCTGCAATTTAAAGCTTGGAATTCAGGAAGAAATGCTGATGGTCTATGAATTGCTGGATTTAGATGGAAATGTTCTTTAATTAATTAAAATTTATTTAAAATCGAAAAAAAGTTTTAAAAACCAGAACAAAAAAGACTTCCACCGGGTTCATCAAAGGGCCCAACCATATATTGTTCTCCTGGTTGTAATGGACGACCACAACAAATACATACAAAACCTTTATGTTAAAATTAAAATATGTAAATTTGTTTTTTGTGTCTTTTTTAAATTTTAATTCCCAATCCAAATAAAGGAGGGTAATTTTATTTTTTCTGGCTTTCGGTAGGACAACTATAATTCTCATTAAATCCATCTCTTCATTGTTTTTATTATAACGACAGTTATAACAAATTTTTCAAAATACGTGACATCAAAATTACTCATGATAAAATATGGGAATTTGTATGCACACATAAAGGGGTTTCAAACAAAACCCCGACCCAAGAATTAACGAAGCTAATTGAAAATTATTTGATTGGAAATTTTCAGTGCTTTAATAAAATGAAAAATGTATTTTTATGGATTAAGTACAACAATGCCATGTAGATATAGAGCATCAAAAAATTTAGGAAGGAATAATCTTTTAGTTGATAAGAGGGGAAAAATCTAATTTCTTGAATACTTGTAAAAGTATCCTTTCCTAACTAGATAAAATTAAGTAGACCCACATTGAATATGAAAGAGTGTTTCCTTTCCATTTACCGGCACCCTCATAACTAAATTTCCTCTTTCAATTGGAGAATTACACCTTTCACATTTCTTTCCATATTTTCTAAAAATTTAAAAAATTCTTTAAAATTTTTTCTTTAAATTAATTAAAAACACATGAGGTAATCTCTTCGGCAAAACAAAAATCCATCTCTAGCAAAACAAATTCCACAATTACCCTCTTCGTCTTTAAAATCCTCCAAATTTCTTGAACATACAGCACATCTGACGCATTCTGTGTGCCAACATTGGGAGTCTACAAACAGAAAGTGCTTCTCTACAATGGGTAAATGGCAAAAAGCACAGGGACCTTCAAGAAAAAATTTTTAGTAAATTTTAGGGAATAAAAGGCGTCTCAATAATTTTCTAGTAGCGATTAGGGTTGTGTCGGTCGATAAAAAATATCGAGTCTGATTATCAGCTATCATTTAAAATGTCAGGATTTAAGTTAACGGATAGCTTAGAACAAACATGGCAGCGATTATATGTAAGGTAGGGTTCATCCCCGTAGGGAATTCCCCGGAAACGGGGGAGGTCTCCCTCCAGAGCCCCCGTTCCCTGTAAGCCAAGTCCAAGCCCGTAATATCAAACCATATTATAAAGGACATGCTTTAGGGAAGACAAGGTTGGACTGAAGATGTCGTTTGTTTCATGATTCTCTTTCTCTTAATTCCCAACTTTCAAAAATGTATTTTCAAATCCTTCTAGTATTTCAATTTAAAATATTTTATTCAACTCGCCTGTTGGAGCCATTGACATTTGAAAATTATTTGGTAAAGTTTCAGGTTGTGATTTAAATTCATGTTCGTTGTCAAGGCTTTTTAGTTGGCCAAGAAGAGGAACAATAGATAAATTTTCCTTTAAATTTTATTTTTCATGCCTCTTAAAAATTATTTTGATTTTTCAAAATAATGTCCTCGTTGTCATTTTTTCAAGAAATCATCTTTCCTCCCTCACCCCACACCTTTATAAAAATCCTCCAAAAAATTCCCTACCCCATTCTGTTGGAAGATTTTATTCCTTTCTTCCTCTTCACGTTTATTCGTCAATTCACCCCCATTAGTCAACAGCCCCGGAAATACATTTAATCCAATTGGCTGAGGTAAAGAAAGTAGTGAGGATTGTGAGATTTGTTGTTGCTTAATTTGGCCCATTAAAAGTAATTGATGAAATGAGGTTGTTGAGTTTATCTTGAATTTAGTTAAAATTTGATAACCTTGATTTTATTGATACCCATTTTAAAGACTTAAGTTTCTCTATATCTCGCTTTTTCCCAGTTTACGCATTTCTCCCTCCCCGTTCCCACAAGAAGGAAGACAGCTCAGTTATTATTCCCTAACTAGTGTGCGACACCTGGTACCCTTAACCTAAAATTTACCTCAATATCGTCGCTGATTTTTCTTAAATATTTTTCTATCATTTTATTAACCTTTTGCCTATTGCATCCCCAAATTTTTTTCTAAACAATCTTTAAGTCTTACTCTTTGTTGTTCTTCCATAGGCCTAGACAATATACTCGAAGTATTAGCCCCACCTAGCCATGTTAAAGGTAAATTATTATCTACAGTAGTTTGGTGCTCTGTTGAAGGAAAATCGGTCATAGGTGGGAAGAAAAGCATACCAAAAACAAAATTTAAATAAAGAGATTTTTGTTGGATTAATTTAAAATAACCCTATCAAAAATAACCAAAACTACATATTAGAAGAAATTAGTAGAAAGAGTTTATCAGCTAAATTTAAAAATCTTTTTTAATTCGAACTAAAATTTCAATTCACGCCTTAGCTTTTTCCTAATTTTTACAACAAATATCATCCGAACTAAATCGGAAACACTGACCGATATAACCGCCCTGACTGTTCGGGGTAAAAATCTACAAACAATGTTAGTCATTTTATACCCTGCGCAACCCAAATAGGTATATTAACAGATTTATTTTAATTTTTAGCCGGATCAAAACTTAATTTTAAATACAGTATTGACTGGAATAGACACAAAAACATGTCTAATATTTAAAATAAATTTATTTTTATTTTAATAATTTTTTTTTCTGGTTGCCTCATAAATGCGCAAGAAAAAGGCGTTTTTATGAATTTTACAATCGACCCCAATTATTTATATTTTTTGTTGAAGAGAGGAAGGAGGGGATGATCATCATCAACAATTTAACCCTTTAAATCCTTTCCTAGTGTTGTGTGTCAATAATCCCCCCCTTTTCCCTTTTTCAAATCCCCTCCCCCCCCCCCCCCCCCACTTTTTATTTTACTTATTTTAATCTATCCAAAATAACCTAAACAATTTAAATTACCTAATATTTTAATAAATAAATTTTTAAATTGAATAGGGGCTTATCAATGTTATAATAAAGTGAGGTAAATTTATAGTCAAAGTTTGAAATAGTTATAGTGCCAAGAACAAAAAGTTCGGTTAACGAACTTGATATTTTCGAGATAAAAATCTGGATTCTCGTACGACCCTCCCAGTCCGGCCTTTAGTTTATTAAAGACAAGGATAGAAGTTGATCCGGTAAATAGAAGTAATTTTGAGGCTGCTCCTAAATAACCGAAGAAAGCTAAAAAAATATCAAGAGGTTTTTATTAGGGATCAAACTGGGAGTATCGTACGAGAATCGTAGGATTCGAGATCGCTCTCGTCTTGTCTCATGTTTAGTTTTTATAGAAAATGTCTTGATAAAATATAGAATCAAACATTTTATTTCAGCTAAAGAGAACTGAAATTATTTTGTTTTTTCAAATTTTTATTTAAAATCAGTACAAAATTTTTTCAAAAATCTCTTTTCACTAAATTAAAAAAATATTTTTTAATCAAAAAAGGAAATAAATCCAAAAAATTCAAAAATGAAAAATAAAATTAACGAGAGAGTAAAATACCTCTTAACAGTAATCTCAACAAATTATTTAAACTCATCAAATATTTCCACCTATTTAGTTAAAAAAATATTTTTTTTCGATTCTCTAGAGAAAAAAAAATAGAATTATTATTTTAAATAAATAAATAAATTTATTTTTTTCTTTTTTTTCTAGCTTTAATAATAAAAATCCGTTTATGCAGCAAATTTTAATTGGACACCGACAAACACATGTTTTAATAAAAGGGAAATGTGAACAAGCTAGGCTTTAAAAAGAGGAAAAGAGAGAAGTTGTGAGGGGGGGGGGTGTGAAAAGTAAAAACAAAAATAAAAACTTTAATTGCCCTAAGGGGACGACTGGCAAGTTAATAAATAAATAAAATAACAAAAACAATGTTTTGACATGGAAAACTATTAGTATTATTTATTTTTGTTTCAAAGTTTTAAAAATTAAATGTAAAATATCCAGAATGAGGGTAAATGAGGGGTAAAGTATTTTTGAGAAGTAAAAAGGGGGAGACCGTAATACGCTATTAATTCCCTGAGTAATTATTATTTCAACTTCTCGTTGGAGGGGGTAATTAATAGAGGCGGTGTAATTATTTGAGTGAGGGTAATTAATAGATACGGTAGGTTTGATATATAGTTACATCAAACAGTAATGTAATGCATATTTTATCAAGCAGATATTTATTCCTAAAACTTAGCTCTATTGAAATCTCCAAAACAAAGTTGGATAAATCTAAAAGAAATTTTACAATAAACAATAAACTTTTTTAATAGAATTTTTCTTTTAAGAAAACATTTAAAAAATAAATTTTATTTAAGCCAAAATTACTCGTTAATCACCAAAACAAATAACACACACAAAAACAATTAAAGGGGGTTGATCAGACCCCCCCAGCCCAAAAATTAACATCAATCTACTATCCTGAATCATGGTCAAATTACTATACATAAATAAAACATAAAACATATTAACACATATTAAGTAAAAAAAATTTAATTTTGAGAGAGAGAGAGGGAGAAATTAATTAAAATTATAAAATTAAAATAAAAAAAGAAAAATTAAGTTTTTTTTGTTTGTACCAAAATTACGCGTTTCCGCTACTCGACCCTAAAACAAATAAAAGCGAGCAATTCTTCTTTTATTCTCAACTCACAATTCCTTCCCTCTTTTCCTTCACTTTTACATTTTATTGGCGGCTTTAACTAACTAATACAGTAATTTACTTTAGTCAATCCTTTTTCTAAATCCAAATGGAAGGAAAAGCTAAAAAATCTTAATAAACTTAACAACTCATGTATGTACATAAGTATTTTATCGACTAAAATTAAAAGAATAAATCTATTAAACAGGAAAAACAAAAATTTTTTTAATTTTGTTAATATCCGAAAGTTACAATAAATCGAAAAAAAATTTAATTTTACCATGTATCAATAGACAGGAAAAAATTTTTATATTTGAGAAGAACTCTATATTACTATTTCCAAAAATATAGCTATAATTCATTAAATTATTTTTGCACTCTACTCGAACAATTTAAAAAAAATGTTTGAAATTATAGAATTTTTTTGTAAAATATTTCAATCCCTAATAAAAATATTTGAACAAAATTTAACTTGTATAAATCAATTTTAAACAAATTTTTCATATCCACTATAAACGTCGTTCGCCCTAAAATTCGTTCGCCTCTAATTTCTAGCCAGGGGACCTAAAAAGAGTCGTTTCTATATTTCCGGTCAGATTTTCCGGAATAATTTTTAACCTTATTAAAAAATAAAATTGTTTTTGGGAAAGAAGAAAAAGTTAATTTAACGTAGTTGAACCTCATTTTTGGGTACCTCATTGGGGCCAAAAAATTTTATTTAATAATGATTATATATTTAATTAAAAACTTGCAATCTTAAATAAATATTTGTGTTCATTCTATTAAAGAAATATATAAGGAAAAGCTTTTAGACTAAAAACAAAAAATATGCAAATGGGAAGAATGAAAAGGCAAAAATATCCATTTACTACATTTAATCTCCTCAAATTTTCGTTGCCTTCTCATAAAGCAGCAGGTGCTAGTAGCGGTGTCAATCCTTGTGACCAAGTTGGATTTTAAAAAATTTTCTTTCTCGATTTTGTAGAAGGGATATGGAAGGGATCAAATGTCGCTTTTTGCAAATGGAAAGGAAAAAGGAATTAAATTAATTCATGGCATAAATAAAATCCAAAAAGATATAGATTTAGTAGTTAAAATCAAAAAAGGAAAAAAAGCAATTTACGGCTCAAACGGCCATTGACTAATAAATATACTTCGGCATTTTTGGGAAAAAATTTTTTTTATAATTTTTAGTCAGGGATTTTTAATACTGGTTAAATTAAACTAGGAATTTTTGAAGAAGATCGTCTCTCGATTTAATCAATTATTTACTGATTAATTACTGATAAATTTATTGCAATAGTTTTAAAATCCATCTTCAATTATAGACAATATTTTTCGTAGACAAAAGTAAGCCGGGTTGCGACATAAAAACAAACATTAAATCATATTAATTTAAAATTTATTTTTAATTCAGCTTAAATTAAATTAAAAAGGCAACAAAATTAAATTTAAAAAATTACAAATATTTTTTTATCATTTTTATATTTAACCCATTTTTACCACTCGAATAATTTAATGAACTTTGATATTTTCTCTTCATTTTTCTTCACGATCAAACCAGTCAGCGATAAAGTTCACGATCAAACCAGTCAGCGACAAACTAAAAAATTAATTTTAAAAATTAATTTAATAAAAATCTACTCACTACAAATGGCAATTTTGTTTCTTCTGCATATTGGGCAATACGTTTATTGCTTGGCCGAGGGTCAGAAGCAAAGTGCTGAAAAATTTTAAGTAAAATTTAATTTAGCTTAAAAAAGAAAAAAAAATCTGAAACATTAGAATCGATTAGGGAAGTGATGTTTAGATTTTGGGTTTTTGTTTGTTCATAAAAATAGAATGAGAATGTCTCAGTTGGTATTATTGGTTGGAAGCTCAGGATTCTTAAAAAACCAGGGGCAAGTGTTCGCGGATATGGCGACCCTAATCATTAATTCTTCATAAGGGATTCATAGTAAAAAAGAATTTCAAAAAAATTTCAAATAATTTTTAAATTTTTCTTCCTACCGCCAAAAGAATTTTCTTCTGTTCTTCAGTTGCATATGTTCGTTGTTGAGAGGGTTTGTTCGTTAACGGATTATATGTTGTTTGACTACAAGGTCCCACGTTTAGATTTTCCTAAATAAAAAAATAGAATTGTAAAATAGGCGGTAAATAAAACAAAGTAAAAATATGTAAAGAGTAATGCTGGCTCACTGATACTATAGGAAACTAAAGCTTATTAACTTAGAAACAGGACAAGGCAAATATGCAAATTTCGATTACGAGTAGGAAACCCGCAAGATGAAACTTTATTGCGGGTAAAGGTTCGGATTTTATTAATAACACGATTGAAATCAATTTTGTTTTGTTTCTGTTCTTTTCAGTCTCAGGGGCAAATATCCGTAACTTTTAAACACACTTAAGTCAAGGAAGGTTTTCCTAACTTGAGAGCTCATCTTAGACTTTTAGCTGAATTTCTTTATATTTAATGAGAATTAGTAGAAAAATAATGTTTGTTATACCATTATTTTTTCTAACTATCCACTTATTTTAAATGGTTAGCACTGAAGGTCCTAGAGAAGAATAAAAATCTAAGAAACAGCCTTAATTGACTTTATTGCGATTAAAAGTTAAGGACCTTTACTCCCATAACTGAAGAGAAAAATACAGTCGACCAGGAAAAATTACTTAAAAGAAAGCAAACGAACTTGAAGACAAACAGGAACATTCATTCCATAATTACATTGTTGAGGATAATTTGAAGGCCCCAAATTCACATTTTGAGAATAACTGAAAAATACATGTATAACTTTAATAAAAATTATTTTAAGAAAACCTAGTCACTTGTGAAGAGGTAGATGTTGCAAGAGAATAACTAAAAATAAATAAAAAAAATAATTTGAAAAAAATAAAAATACAAAGGCATTGTTGTCAGAGCATGTGCAGTTGTTGTAATTGTATGATGAGAATATGGTACCTGCTGAAAAAATATGAATAGCAAATATCTAATAATTTTAGTAAAAAGTCTAGCTAAGCTTCCCTCCCACCCCCCCCCCCCCGTGGCGCTGCCTTCCCAAAAATTTTCCCCATGGCCTCGGGGAACAACCCTAGCCATAAGCCGGCCGGCACAGAATCATTTTGCGAGAAAACGAATATCACTCTGCAATAGAAAGTCGGGGGCCGTCTATCGAGTGGTATACCGAATTCGAGGTTAGAGTAGACGATGTTCTCTTGTTATCTCGACTAGAAGATAAAACATAAAAATTCGGGTTGTGGGTTCGAACCCACGTGGGAAAATCAAATTTTTCTCCAAAAATGTCACTGGCCATTTTGAGCACTTATTGAAAATTCGCACTCGCAATCGGCGCATTTTATTACATAAGACAAACACATTTTTGTGTTGCTGAGCACTCTTACCGAGGGAAGGGAGTGGAATTCTTAGAAACACTTGTTAAAGAATAACAATTAAAAACTCAGAAAGTAAACAAACTTGAACTGTAGGTTGAGGACCAACAAAACGAAAAATTGGAATTTCACGAGCATAAGGAAATTCAGGAGTCCACTCATAAGGACTCCACATTACATCGGTGGGCGTTTGATATCTGAACAATACAATTTTAACATAAATTATTTTAAGAAAAAACCCGTATTGTTGTGGACGAGTCGTAGCAATATTCCCAAAATTTTGAAGAATTGGCTGAAACTGGGTTGTTTGAGGTGCGTGGCTAGATGAACCAGCTGAATAACCACCACAACTGAAAATAAAAAAATATTTTGAAAACAGAAAAATACAAAGGTCGTAGTAGTGTCAGGGCAAAACCTCGACCAGACAAAGCTTCAACCGACAAAACTTCGTTTTACAAAACTTCGTCCAGCCAAGTCTACGAGCAAAACTTCGTCCAAAAATGAAAATATGCATTTTTCACCAGGGTGGGGTTTATTTAGCGCGAGAAATGCTGTTTGTATTTTTTCGCATTACCGAGCGAAATATCCGCTCTTCTTCAAGTAACAAACATCATTACTCGCGCCAAAGATTACAACCATTGAAGAGGCATGTCTTTATTTCTGGATGAAACTTTGGTTAGCCGAAGTTTTGGCCGGTCAGGTTTTTGTAAGACGCAGTTTTGACTGCGGAAGTTTTGTCTGGATGGAGTTTTAAATTCAAGCTTTGCTCCTCACCTGTAGTCTTTGCTCTTAGCACCAAGTTGTTGCATAAAATATGCATTTTGTTCATCCTTCTTTTTCAGTTCACAAATGAGTGAGTCCCGTTCACGAGTCCGTTGCTGCAAATCCATCAGAGTTGTGGAACTTGCATCCATGAGTGAGTAATATTGAAGATCTCTTTCGTGAAGCTGACGATCTCTTTCGCGAAGCTGACGATCTGTTTCGCAAAGCTGACGATCTGTTTCGCGAAGCTGACGATCTGTTTCGCGAAGCTGACGATCTCTTTCCCGTAGAAGCTCTTCTAAAATTTACTAACTTAAAATTAACTGAGACCTAAAATAACCTAGTTCGTGTATTTTTCTTTCATTTTCTTGTTCCTCTGCCATTTTTAACGAAAAAAATAAAATATAAGATCTTTAAAATAAAAAAAAGAAAGATTTAACAATGAATAAATCTGACAAATTTTGAAAATTTTGATTAAATAGACCTTTTTGAAATTTACCATTTTGTAATTTCGATTATTTTTAGGGTAGGGGACAATTCAGTATAGCAATTTCAGAATAGGGCTATAACTTTTGTGATTTTCGTCCTATCCAAATAATTCTCATGTCATTTGAAAGGTTATGAGATGCAGCATATTTTTCATAATTGGACCAATCTTATTTGAAGATTCTACAAAAAATTAGAGCCGGAAAACTGATTTTTTATGCATATGACATCGTTTAGCACTTAGAAACTTTTTGTAGAATGCTCAGATCAGATCGGTTCAATTACGAAAAAATGCAGCATTTCGAGAACTTCCGAAGCATACTTAAAATTTTCTGTAAATTGATGAACAAAAAGTTATGGCTTAAAAGTTGTTAATCTGAATAGACCAATTCAGAATTGAGATACTCAATTGTCCCTATCATTATTTTTAAGTGTGGACGATTCAGTGCAGCAATTAAGTTAATCGTTTTGAAATTCCTAAATTTATTGATCGAGAGATTTGCATGTGCCGATTTTTTGAACGCTTGTCTAGTTTATGCGTTAAGTTTGATTGGGCATAAAAGATTTATTGGACGCATAATGATTGCCGTCGATAAGTAAATTGGACGTAGAATGGTTGATTGACTATAATATGGAATAGTATGGGCAAGAGTTATCATTTGCTTAGAACTTGTGAATTATCCTGAAGATCATACTGTGAATGATCACATCCTGGGCCCGTAGAATAAATTCGGGGTTGGATAACCCGGTTAAATAACCCGGTTAAACAACCCGGGGGCAAATAACACTAAGCTTCGGGTTAAAATCGGTAGAATAAATTCAACACCGAGTTAAGGGTTATTTAACACTGAGCTAAGGGTTATTTAACTAGTTGAGTTACTGGGTTATTTAACCCTTTATATTTTATTGCCAAACCATTTTGCAATAATTGCGAAATGGCGCCGCAGGAGAAAATTTTTTGAAGTTTATAAGCCAAGGGGTCGTAATCCTTCATTTCCCAAAAATTCCGCAAAATGGAAAATATTTTGCAGTAATTTTTAAAAATGTTTGCGGAAGTTTTTAATTTTCGACTTTGGGTAATAGTATTTTTGACATTTCTTACTATGACAAGCAAACGTCAATATTCCATTGGAGGAAATTCTAATTATATGGAGGACTCTTCCACAAATTCGCCTCTTACTAAAAAACAACAATTACTTAATTCTATTTCATCATTGAATTTTGAAAATCTTACTACCATTCCATCCGACCCAAATATTCCTGAATTTGCCAAATCATTACTTGAACAACAGCAATTAATTATTAAACAATTGTCTGGTTTATTAAAAATTGCTTCTGAGCTTATTTGTGAAAAAACTGAACCAACTGCACCTTCCATGGAACAACAAAATCATCTTTTAGTTATTACTGGTCTTGCTGAAAGTAATGAAGAACGTCCGATCGACAGGGCCACTTCAGACAAAAACAACGTTTTGGAAATATTTAATGAACTGGAAATCGACCGCTGTCTCCCCACCTCTATTTTCAGAATGGGAAGACAGCGGCCACCTAATTCAAAACCACGGCCCCTCAAAGTCATCATGCCCTGCTCTGCTGCAGCAACTGAAGCCATTAAAAACAAAAAAAAACTTGCTGGTGGGAAATTCAAAAATGTTATTATAAGAAGAAGTCTTACAAAGGAGGAACTGGAAGAAAGGGCTTCTTTGATTGAAAGATGCAAAATTAAAAGAAAAGATACAGGTTTTGACTTTATAATCTATGCAGGTCAGATTATATTGCGTTCAGAAGTACATATTTTTAAAAAAACTTTATCAAAAAACCACTAAATACATCACAGAATTTACTTCTGAACGTACTTAACTATCGATCCACACAACCCCCAAAGAGTCTCATAAAAACACAAAATATAACCAGCACTAAAACAAACCAAAAAAGTTCCTTATCCTGTTTATATTATAATTGCCAATCAATTAAAAATAAAATTCACGAATTGGACCTTGAAATCGCCCAACAAAATCCTGATATTTTATTCTTGACTGAAACATGGATAAATTCTAGCGAAAATCCTCTTCTATATCTAAAATCAGCTTCACTCTTTCAAATAATTTTAGAAAATAGAAATCAATCTTATAAAAGTAGAGGCGGTGGTGTAGCTATGCTAATCAAAAACGGAATATCATTCCGACACATCACACGTAAAAAAATTGCTGGCATCGATACAATCGCTATTGACGTCTCCACAAATCGTTTTAAATATTATATTAGGTTAGTACTAGTTTATAGACCACCTTCCATTTCTAATCAATCAACACAGTCCCTTATTAAAGTTCTTCAAAAAATTTCTGAAGATAATGTAGTCATTATCGGGGACTTTAACTTTAATAAAACTTATATAAACTGGCATGATCTTACAGCTAATAATAGTATTGGCAAAGAATTTCTAGAATTTACATTAAACTTTCAGTATTCAAATCTCATTCTCGATTCTACCCATTATAAGGGTTCTATTTTAGATCTTTTGCTGACTAACAATTCTAGCTGTATTACATCTCCATCTTCATCTACAGGACTCTCAAATTCAGATCATTACTCGATAAAATTTTTGTTAAATATACAACGTCCCACACCCTCTATAAAAACCTTTAGAGATTATAAAAATATCAACCTTTTAAATGCTCACATTGCTAAGGAATTCAATAATCTCTACGATATATTTTTTATATCAGATAAGTATAGTTTCTTTGTATACTTCATTTTAGAATTAAGTAACCTCTATATTCCTATGCGATCACTCACTATTAAGCCTAAAGTAACAACTTATCCTAAATACATTAAGCGTCTACTTACCTCAAAAAATAAAATATTCAAAGATCTCAAAAATAATAAGATACATCCATCTCAGTACTTAAATTTCTGTAAAACTGTTAAACATATCATTAATAGATATAACTCAACTAGAATTAAAAAACTAGTCTCAAGCTCCCAAGGAATCCACAAATTTATGAAAAGATTTACAAAAGGTCACTCTCCAATTCCTTATTTAGTGCATAATGGATTATATCTTTTTGAGGATAAAGCTAAATGTGATTTATTTGCCAGAGCTTTTGCTCCATCATTCTCAAATGTACCAATTCAAAATCATCCTATTCTACCTCTATCAAATTATTCATCTCAGCTTGACGATATAGATTTTACACTTATAGATATTGTTAATATATTAAAATCTCTTCCTCCAAAAGAAGGTGTATCAGCAGACGGAATTAGTTATAAACTTTTAAAAAATTGCACAGATTCTATAGCACCATTTCTAGCAGATATTTTTAGGGATTCATTAGATACTGGTATTTTACCAGAACTTTGGAAAATATCCTTTATTACCCCAATTTTTAAAAAGGGTTCAGCATCTGATGTTTCAAATTATCGTCCAATTGCTATTACATCGTGCATATGTAGAGTCTTTGAGAAATTAATTTTACAACATATTTTAGCACATCTAGAAACAAATAAAATTATTAGCGACCAACAGTTTGGCTTTTTAAAAAAACGCTCGACTGTTACTCAGCTTTTATCTTCTTTCGATGCATGGTACAAAGCTCTTTTAAATAATAAATGTATTGACTGCATCTTTATAGATTTCAAAAAAGCTTTCGATAGTGTTCCTATACGATACCTCATTTACAAGCTCTCTAATATAGGCATTAATGGAAAACTTCTTAATTGGATCTCAAATTTTCTCTCTAACAGAACAGCTTTTGTAAAGATAAATGACAACTACTCTGATCCCATTCCTATTATGTCGGGTATACCGCAAGGAACGATAATTGGCCCAATTTTGTTTTTAATCTATATAAATGATCTTATTTACCAAATACCTTCCCCCTCGAAAGTCATGCTTTTTGCTGACGACCTAAAAATATTTTGTGAATTTTCACCTAGTAACGATAATGCCTGTCTCCAAGAATCACTTACTAAAATTGAAGAATGGAGCATTGATTGGGCATTGGATATCTCATTAAATAAAACATGTACTTTTCATATAGGTAAAAATAACCCTAGAAAACGCTACATCCTTTTTGACACCATTTTAGAAACTGTATCTTCCGTTACGGACTTAGGAATCACTTTTACAGATAAACTCTCATTTGAAATACATCTATCTAAAATCATCAAAAAGGCTTATCATCGTTCTATTCTTGTACTAAATAACATTAATTCATCAAATCCTAAGATTTTTTCCTTAGCCTTTAAATCATACGTCAGGCCTATTCTGGAATACGCCTCCATTATATGGAGTCCTAAAACAAAAAAATTCATTCTAAAAATAGAACAAATTCAAAAGTGGTTTACAAAGATTACTTTAGTTAAATGCAAAATTCCTAAAATGAGTTATGCAAATAGATTAAAATTTCTGAATCTAGAATCTTTAGTCCTCAGACGTACTCTATTTGACCTCTCAACAATCTTCAGGTTAACAAAAAATTTTACCCATCTTGATCCAACTTGTTTTGTCGAGTTTTCCACGCGTCCTATAAGAAATAAACATAATTTACAATTACGAGTTCCTAAAAAGATATCAAAGACTGAACATTGGATTATAAATAGAACTATAAATTTATGGAACGTTCTCCCTATACAGATTATTAATTCTCCAAATCCTAAATCATTCTGGATAAACCTAAGAACTTATTTAATACAAAATCAGGACCTCCTTAATGACTTTATTGGCCAGTTTTAGTGCTATTAATTTAAATTTAATGATTTTTTTGAGACTCTTCCGTCCCTCATAATTT